AGTGATCACTATTTCTCCGTCAAAGTGTAATGAGAAAAGATTCTTAAAATATTGAAAAAAAGTGGTTGGTGGTCTATCAACGGATTTATGTATTCATCTTCCCCATAATCACAGTTAACATGACAGAATTTGTTCGTGATAATACATTATCGATTCTCTGTTTTCGTTGATTAATGAATCTCAGTTAAAAACAATAAACATTCTATTTCAATTTTTTAAGCATATGTTTAAACGTATATAGCCATATTTTTTATTCGGATCATTAGTTCTTAAAAAACCGAGCATCAGAATTTTGAGGAACAATTAGTAAAAAAAATTCTTGAAAGACGACCTGGCTTTAAAAAGTTGTTACTATTTGACTGTCGACATTCACCAAAATCTAGGGTATTAACCGATAATTATTCCTGAGATCCGAGTAAATTTTACTTACTTAGATGTTCTATAATTAGCCATTTGACTTCTATAATTGGTTTCCACTAATTTGAATGTGTTGATGATGTATATGATCTTGAATCTATACATTGGTTATGATTACGATATTTGTTCTTTATTTAACGTGTGATCAACATGTGTTCGGTGACAGCGTGAGTGGAAAAATGGGCCCTTTTAAATCTTTCCTTTGATGGATTTTTTTGTTTCTTTTGGGGGAAGAGGAGAGAGGGGGCTCAAGGGGGCTCGAGGGGACTCGTGAATACAAAGACCACCAGTAAATGATATTTTAATGAAAAATGTGGTGTTCTCATGACCAAAATATCAGTTTCTCTAAAACATTTTTGCATTTTTCTCTTCCTTGTAAAAATATTTTATTTTTTTTATCATGTTTGTAAATAATTGATGGTGATGATTATCATGGTGTGTTTAGTTTGAATAACGAACTTCCTTGTATATATATATATATATTCATGAATTAGCTTCAATCATATTTAATTTTTGTTTATATCTCTAATTATACTATTTTAATTATTCATGGAATAAAAATAAATTCATCAGTTGGTTACGGTTACTGTTAGAATTCCTGTTTGTTATTCAAGTATAATACCGACTTGGAAGAATGTGTAATTGGAGTAATGGGAATTCAATAAGTTTCTTTTTTACACACAATTAGCGATATTAGAATATTGAAAAATTGATCGAAGATTTAATCGTGAATTCAAAAGATCATTTAAAGTAATGCGCTATAGAAATTTAGAAGATAGTCAAAGAAATAAAATAAAAGTATTATGAGCTAAAGGAGTGTGTTTTTCGTGTACATGTTGAATCTTTCAGTGTAATATAATCTCCTTGGAAAAATAAACAAAAATCCATGTTATACGATGTTTTGCTAATTTTCAATTCTATTTACGTATTCCTCATACATCTCCACGAGTGCTCGAGGTGTTCTAGGTTTAACACTGGCTAATGCGGCTTTGAAATGCTCTTTTGAAAGCGAGGAGGCGTTCAGATCATCTTCAAGTGCTTTGAAGGCAGCCTCATGGCAAATTGCCTGAACTTCAGCACCCGAGTATCCTTCAGTGAGATCAACCAAATCTGGGATATTTACATCCTCATCAATCGGCATTTGGCGACATTTTATTTTAAATATCTCTAACCGAGTTTCGTAATCTGGCAAGGGTACGTATACCATTCTGTCGAGACGTCCAGGTCTGAGGAGTGCCTAAAACAAATTATAACAATTTTTGGCATATACATCAAAATACGTCAAAGAGAAATCGAGTGGAAAAGTCGATGGACTTTTTCATGTGGAAATACTTATAACTATTTATATACACTTTTCCCAGAGGGAAAAGCTCCCTTGTTAGCGATAAGGAAGTAGATACATTGATTTCTGGCGCAAGAATTTTCAGTCCAGATGAAACTCTCTAAGTTAAAAATTCACGGAGTTATGAGGGTTTAAAGTTGTGAACTTGAAAATCAAATTTTTGAGAAAATTGTAGTTGAAGCTAGACAATGGATGCATTGAACTTCTTCTTGAAAGTTACTGTGATTGTAATTTAAACTGACCCAGGTACCATGATGATGCATGAAATAGAATGGTTACTTCTTTATATTCAGAATAACATCTTTTGTCAGTAATAAACATTATCAATTCTAACCCAAATCCGAGAGAATGTGAGCTATGTCATCCCGCTGACCTCCGAAAACAACAGAAATTCGAGGAATGAATTTGAAAAAACAATGGACACCGTGGAAGAGAAACAAGGGCTTAGAATACCCTATTTTCTTCCCCTGGTGCACAATATACTAATGACGTATCAAACATACTTTATCAATTCTGTCAGGTCGATTGGTAGCAGCAACAAGTGTAACATTTCCGAGAGCAGTAACACCATCCAGTTCAGTTAGTAGCTGCGCCAATACCCGTTCTTGTACCTGATTTCCAGGACTGCTTGCCCCGCTACTTCTTTCATTTCCGAGGGCATCAATTTCATCAATGAAAACAATAGAAGGAGCGACTTGTCTCGCTTTCCTAAATACTTCTCTGACAGCCCTTTCTGACTCTCCTACCCATTTCGAAAATAACTCAGGTCCTTTGATATTAATAAAATTCAATTTACTCTCTGTCGCAAGGGCTCTAGCAACCATTGTTTTCGAGCACCCCGGAGGTCCAAACATCAACAATCCTCTTGGAGGCGTTATTCCCAGTCTTTCGAAAGCTTCTGGATGCTTTAAAGGCCATTCCACTGCTTGTTGAAGCTTCAACTTCAAGTCCTTCTGCCCCCCAATGTCCGACCACTTGACATTTGATATCTCCACCAGTACTTCTTTCATTGCTGAAGGTTTTACTTGAGTCAAAGCGTAATTAAAGTCCTCTACTGTTACTTGAACATCGTCTTCGCGATCACAGAAATTTCTATGACGTTTTGTAGCGTTCATGGCTGCTCTGCAGCATAAACAATCTAAATCAGCACCAACAAAGCCATGAGTCACAAAAGCAATCTGATCAATATCCTTTTCCATCAGCGAATGTGGGAATTTCATCAGTAATTTGTAAATTATATCCTTTCGCATCCGAGGAGTTGGTGCAGGCACTTCAAACTCCCTATCTATTCTACCAGGTCTTCTCAAAGATGAATTGATCGAATCAATCTTTGAAGTCGTGCTCCACACAAAAGTAGCCACATCACTCTTCTGTAACTCATTAAATTCTTTGATTAAAATCCCCGAAATACGCTTTTCATTCTCTGATAGACCTCCCATTTTCTTAGGACATAGCGTGTCGAGATCTTCAATCAAAATCACACTTGGAGCCTGAGTTTTTGCTTTTGAAAATATTTCACTTATGTAGGTATCAAGTTTACCTCCGGACTGAGTCACAATGTCGCTGGAGTTTAGGGGAAAAACGTTGATATCATAATGAGATAAAAGTGCGGAAGTAATTGCAGTTTTTCCAACGCCTTCAGTTCCATACAAAAGTATTCCTTTGTTGATTTTCAAACCTTTGATAGGTTTAGATTTTTCAAAAATTATGTCCAGCATGTCCTTTAGTTCTTCAATAAGTTTTTCATACCCTCCAATATCTTTTAATCCTATTTCTGTTCCTATTTTTTGATTTACGATCGAAGGCTCGTCGTCGATCAGAGACCATTTGGTGTTGTACAGAGCTTCGAAAAAGAGGGGAGCTTTTTCGCTAATCCTCATTTTCTCGAATCCCTCTTCAATGGTTTTAATAATTCCTTCATTGCCACTTATTTTTATGACCTTAAATACCAAAGTTTTGCCATAATATGGAAGACCTATTCTACTACCAACACAGAAGAGCTTTCTCTCATTAAAATTTTTTATTAGAATTTGTAGATCGGTGGTAATTTTTACTTTCGATACTTTTCCAATCGACTGGATAAGTACTTCTTTTGCTGAGGGTGGAGTTGAATTAATTTTTTTTACTCTCACTCGTCCTTTAATTCCCGAAATTTCTGAACTAGTTCTAGTAAGACTAACAGTTGTAAGGGACTTGTCATATATTGGCCAGGCTTTCTTGACAGTTACTCCAGTTTCAGATGTCAAAACAACTCTATCTCCAATCGCTATATGACATAATTCGAGGGCTGATTGGGACATAAATACCATGTCGTGGGTATCTTGGTCAGATATATTTTTCGGCGGTTCTGGTGAAGTGTAAATGTCCAGAGTACTGTACAATGTGCCACTCAAAATGTAATTGTGAGTAGAGCATCCATTAGATGGTGGACAATTTCGTTCATGAATCGCCGTGTCTTTTTGAGTGATTATGGCACTGCAATTCGCACAGGTCACCCATGCACTTCCTTTCCTCGGTGTTGAAGACATTCTTATGTCTATTTCCTGTAAATCGAAGAATAGAATTAATAGTTTTTATAGAAGTGCGAATATAGTATTTTTGCGGACTGTTGGGATGAGGGTTTTTACTCGTGTGAAATTTGGCGAGCCTAGCTGAAACTCCATCCCAACAATTCGCATATTATTTAATATCTCGGATAGACTAGCGCCAAATTCGAAAGAAAATTTGAAAAAAAATCGTTACATATACACACACATACATCGCGTCAACACGGTTTTAAGGTAGTACTCCTGTATGTAGAAACAACGATGAGATTTTGATGAAAATTGACATGCCCATAAATTTTCATGCAAAAATGACTCAGTTGAATTTTTGGAAGCCTGGATGATCCAGAATAATAGTTATTAATTATAAATTTTCTTATTTTTCGACGATTAACATTGAGTCTTACGGCAGTTCACGGTTTTTCTTTAGTTTTGAAAATTCCAACGATGAGTTTTTCATGAAATTTTTAAAGCTATATGTACAGACGTTAAAGAACATTTTGCGCAATGAAAAATTTTGATTCAACGCCTATAAATATTGAAATTAATTAATTAAGGTCCGGGTGGACCATCTATCGAACGACATTTTATTTAAATTTGATCTTTTTCGTCTAAAATACATTAAAATTTGGAATCAAATTTGTATTGCGAGAAACACTTGAATGGACACTAAAAAATAATTTTTAAAAAAGAGGAAAGATTATTCGCGGGCGCTAAAGAGCGATATTGTTTAAAAACTAAAAAATGATTTAAAAAAACGTAGCTTACCATGATATAACACATTGAATACATCTTATTTATTTATTATATACATCTACATATGCTATATATAATGAGCTACCGATTTTTAAAATTATTTTTTAGTAAACAATATCGCTCTTTAGCACCCTTCAATAATTTTTCCTCTATTTTTTCATTATTTTTTAATGTCCATGCAAGTGATCAAATTTCGGCGACGCAAATTGGATCCTAAATTTTAATGTATTTTAAGCTAAAAAGATCGAATTTAAATAAAATGACGTTCGATTGATGGTCCACCCGGGCCTTAAGTGTGAAATTCATCGATGTGGCAACAATGTTACTCAATTGGGTCAGCTGTCCTTACAGAAACATAACACATGGATGGAAATACATCACACAGGCGTGCAAGTCGTTGAGCAATGTTGTCAAACTGAATTACCGCGCTAATAAAAGTCATTAGTACACTAGCTTGACTCATGATGTACCGGGAGACTACCTTAAAATAAACAATCTTAGAGATCTTGAATCATATTTGGTTGATGTAACATAAACAATGAGAAACTTAAATTTAATCAATTACAATGCTTTCATTAGAAATGAAAATTACTGAATTTGATGGTATTATAATTTATTTAAAACATTCAGGGGAAATTAAAACCTTCGAAAATATATTTACGGTTCTATATTTACTTCATGTCACCCCGGCCTTAACAAACATAACCTCTACCTCACGTCTAATTTGTTCCCAGCAGATGGTGAACTGTCTGACACTGAACTTTCCTAAGGATCCAACACCAAAATCATCTTTTCGCCAGGCTTATTGCAATTGCATTTGCAAACTAAGTACACTTTCTGCGAGTAATTCAATATCTGGCAGAGTCCAAAATTAAGGAATACTCAAATATCGAAATGATGTTAGTGCGCCCATGTGACTTTAACGGCAGTTACCATCAGAGTATAACATTTTCAACATTTTCACCCAGATAGCACAGCGTACTATTTTGTCTTCGGGAGTACGACGTACTGGTAATGTACCTGCACTGTACTACCATCAGATTCTAGTCTGATTTCGAGTACGAAACGTGTACCGAGCGTATCTGAAGGTACAAATATTGATAACTTTAATTGAAGTAAGTTGAATCAATTATTTCTGTTGCAATCTCTAGCTAATGAATAAATAAGTCTTCCTTTAATTTTCGTTAAACATATACTTATATTTTTCATAATGTCAACACACAAATAAATCAACAGTTCGCTACAGAATTGCCTCAATTAGGTGCTGTAGTAAAAATCATACTTAACATCTGAAATTTTTTTGGCGCCATTATTTTATTTTTAAAGACATATCCTTACCTCATTGTCGGCGGGCCTTATAAAAAACACATTTTTATGATAACAGTCTTGAAATGTTCACTTGCCAATTAAAAAAGTGTTGAATATAAATTAATTCTAATGAGATGACGAAAAATTACGTCATTAGAGAATGTCTGAATGATAATTTATCATTGATGAAATGACAGGTTGGATACAAACGTGAACATTTTATTTACTTGTGATGATTTTCTTTCGGTTTCCATATTATTTTGGGGATTTTTAATATTAAAAAAAAAATTGCAATAATAATAACAGCTAGTACATCAGACAAATGATGAATTTTCCAATTTTACACATAAATGATTAATGGGAAATAATTTTTTAAGTGCATACAGAATCTGTTTTTACATATGATTTAAACTTTGGGGACCATTATGAAATGTTCAGCATTTATAATTACGAGGGCGGATCCCTATGTCATTCCGATTGTTGATAATAATGGAATGATTGATTATAATACGTAATAGCATAGAGATGCGTACAAAGTTTGATTATAACTGAGAAAGGACTTTAAGAAATTAGTAATTACACTGTTTGAAAAAAAGACTAGTGTCATCAGAACATCTATAAATCAATTACCTATAAATATAAATGACTAATCGTAGTTATTGCCTACTCGTCATCATGAATGAAATGAATCCTGATAGATACATCATTTTTATGGCTGAGTAACATGCAGATGGAAGATGGAGATAAGATACATTCGATTCCCGGACTTCTGTTTAGTTCAGGTAGGAGGAGGCCGAGAGGTCTCGATTCTGCTCTGTAATATAAAACCCGGGAATGAACGAACAGAAGTTTCAGTTGATCGCTCGCAGTTTTAAGATACGTGCGTATTCATAGAAATGACGCAGACTAATTCTTTTGTGTATCTTTGTCTGGTGGTGACAGTTATATGGATTGTTGGGTCTACAAGTTCGTTAATGTCTTTTTTGTGATTCCATATTTTATGATACTAGTGAAACAAAGGGCACTTTTCTGCACGTTTACCGCATGAATAAGTTCATTTTTTTCAACAGTTAATTTTGAAAAATACAGATGTAACGAAAAGTGTCATCGTTTTTCATTCTTTAGCTTAATGAAAAATGAAAATTATTTTTTAAATAATTAATGCACACATAAAAATATTTTTGAAAATTGATAATTAAATTTTCATTAATTACAAAAAATTTATACGTTAATTATCATAAAAAATGTCATAAAATTTTATACAATATCCATGAAAGAATAGTATATTTCGTAACAAGTGCGGAAAAGTAATTTTTGGTACATTGGAGTTTTGATAATCCTACATGTAAAAAATAACTTTCTACACGAGTTGCGAACAATATTTTTCCAGAAGGTGCGGGAAAGTCACTTTTCGGCACTTGGTCATGAAAATACTTTTTTCCACTTGTACCTTACTATACTAATCTTTGTTTCGCGAGAAACAATGCATAATCAGAAGAGGATAAATTTATACTTTGATTTCTAGCTGGAAAACCGATTCAAGTATTGGAAAACATTCCCGGATTCATTCCAGTATATATAAGACATGGAAATGAAGCATTAGAAGATATTAATCCACTACTGGCTGAAGCATTCCACGAGAAAAAAAGACATACGGTAAAGAAATTTTTAGAAATATGAAAATAGGTGAAGAATGGCCAGTAGATTGTTAATTATTTATTCATCTATTTGCGCTAAAAAGTTTCTTTTCTTAACATTGAAAAATTCCTAAAAAATTATCCTTTGGAATGATTCATTGTTTATGGTGGCAACATTATATAAAATCTAACCAATCCAGCCATTCTAGATTAACTACGGAAATTAGAGCTATGTCGTTCCTCTGACTAGCTCCGGATTGAGTTCATTACCGTAATTAACCAAGGGAGATCCCGAGGGTAATTGACCTAGATACTATTTTATTTGCTCATCATGGATCAGTAGTGTAGCATTACGGTGACTTCGTTAAACCGGGAATTATTAATAATTAATAACAATCAGAATTTCCACCAGAATCAAAGGGGGATTTTTTTGAAGGTATTTAAGATAAGATCAGATATAAGATGGTTATTCTAATCGCGAAACACTTTTCAAATTCGGGAAGACTCGACATTTTTAAGACTAGTCAGACACGCCCTTGGCGCCCGTTATTCATTTTCCATGTAATTAAATCTAATTTGTTTAATGTTGGCGACAAAATTCCATTCAGACAATAGAAAGCAAGATCCATTATTTATTTAAAAAATTCTTGAACAGCGAAATTTAACATGCGGTTTTTATAAGAGCACCACACTTTCATTTTCAATTCCATTGTTGGGCCACTTAGAGTAGTTTAGTTAGTTTTAGTTTCAGTAGTTTATTTAATTTTTTTGTCTATTTAACCATAAATGACTTTATTCGTTAGATTCTCTAGTTTTATTTAAGACATGAAAAAAACTGAATATCCAAACAAACAATGAAGTAAAATTAAATGAAAAACTTCTTCATCCGCTAGCCGTATTGAATGATTTGAATTGGAATCTGAATTTTCACCCTGAAATTCAATCTACTCGTTACTCTGATATTCTGTTTTCTTAATCGTTTTCTCGTGGCTAAAGTTCACTTTGAGTAAAGATCTTGTCAATTTGTGGTCAAAGTGATTGCCAAATTTGATTGTTCACCCATTGCGTTTTTAGTTACTTGTCACTTCCTCCTAAACTAGCTCTGCATCAGGTTCACTCGGAGGGAGGTTGTTGAAGAATAGAGAAGAAGTTCTTTCTGAATGACCATACGTATAATTAATCGGGTATTATATGCTTGTCTATTCTCTAAATTGTTTAAAGCACAGGAGAATGATTAATTATTGGGACGCTTGTCTCTTGTCTCGTCTCGCTAAAGACCTGGAGCACAAAAGTTTCCTCTGTTCAGCTTCCGATCGTATTCTGGTGTCTCAAGAGTTCTCACGACTCCGCCAAAGCTCTCCAAGTTTTAATTTGTTGGATTAAGCCGTCTCACCGGTCAGTTTCTAGTACTCTTCCCTAATTGCTATCATTCATACCACCACGCCAGTTAAGGATGTTTTGCTGGTACTTTGTCATTCTTCCTGTTTTCTGAGATTTATTGAAAACTATCGATCGGATTGGAATATGAAAATATTGCGTTTGTCCGTTCTATCATGATTGACTCTTTCATAAAGTTTCATCCCGATACACAATTTTTTCAAACTTTTCACTAAAATTTAATAAAAAATCAATAAATTCTAGTGAAAAGTTATAAAAATTGGTGTATCGGGATGAAACTTTGTGAAAGAATAAATGATGATGTAATGGACAAACACTATATTTTCATATCCCCGTCTGATCGATAGTTTTCAATAAATCTCAGAAAAATAGGAACAAAATACCGGCCGAACATCCTTAAACAGTCCATCGTATACCGAGAACTAGACTTCTATCTAACGCTGGGACTGCTGATGCAATGTCTGGATGACAGGAAGAAGAGACCATCTTGCTCATTTTCATCATCCACCATTACCTTTAATGGTTGCGATATTTTTATACAAAAAACCGACGTATTGGATAATCCTAACACACCACATAATACGTATTCCATTATCTTCAGCTTTGTATCGCAATTATGGTGTTGTGATAAAAGAAAATAAGCATAAGTCATTGATGAAAAGTTTTTAGCATACCTGCACACGTGCGCGTACCAATGCAGTATGCAATGGTAAGAAGATTTTTCCCGAAATTTCGCAGAAAAACTATAGAGGTTGTGGGAGGTCACTGTAATTTTACACATTTAATTCTGAATGTTCAGTTTATTACAATAATTTATTACATTTTAAACACACTGTGTGTAATAGTATATTGTGCATCAAGGGTGGAAAGTGAGTGTTTTCCCGCTCGAGGTGCACATGCTATTTTTTAACATGCCTGCAAAGGAAACTTCGTGTTTTGCTGTCCGAAAAACGAGTGAATACTTGCCGCCCTAGGGTGGAAAGTTGCTCCTAAGGGTGGAAAGTTGCTCCTAAGGGTGAAAAGTCTTGGCCTTGGCAGCACCTTTCTACTCAAGGGCAGGAAGCACTCACTTTCCCCCCCGTTGATCAGGCAGCAAAGTGCGAACTTTCCGTACAGGTGTGTTGAAAAGTGAGATTTTACGCACGATCCGCGCATACGAAACCTCACGACTCACTTTCCACAAATTAAGATGAAAAAAACGGTGCGATACTCACGGCGAAGTGTTTTTTAGACTTGTGGGATTATAGCCCAACAACACTTTCCCCCAATTATATTGAATTGTACTATTAATTGACAATAATACAGTGTGACATTAATTTTCTCAACAGAAAGTCATTTCCCTGGAGGGACAGGATGCCTCGAAGCTCGACAGTAGTACTCCTGAAGATATTCCACAGCTAGCGTCGAGTAAAAAAAAACGCCAGATCCTTTATTCAACATTCCAAGAATAATGAAGGAGAAAGAAAAAGAAAGAAGCAATGACGCAGCTCCAAAAGATCTTCGAGGACACGACCATGAGATTGGAGTAATCCGTCATCTCCTGTGCGTATAGCGGATGAGGGAATGTCTGAGCATCAGACCCGTCTCTGTTAAAACAATCTATATTTTACATTATTTTTGGGTAATAATTTACAATATCAAGTCTTGTGGAGATTTTGATGCCTTCATACGCAGGCACAATCAGTTATTTGGATGATTTCTCGTTTGGAGCCTCTGCGTGTCCTTAAAATAAAAATAAATTCAATTCAATTCGGTATGGCGGACATTTTTTTATATCGCGAATGATAGTTGAAGATTGAATGATTACCTGTATTCATGAACTTTAAACCTGGCTGGTGTACAATTATGATGTTTAGAATAAAGAGCCGCTAGGCATTTGGTCGGTTCTTTTTTATCCCTGAGAAGGCACGTCTCAGTTTCATTGCCTGGACAAGAACCCACACACTCGCCGACGTTTATATGCTACAGTAATATTAAATAATTCGCTTGATATGTTCGAATCAACTTGATATATTCGAACGATATGTTAATTAGCAGAAACAAAATATTGAGTAAATCTGTAGAACATCACCCCCCGTCATTTAGATTTAATATCATATCATGCATTTTAAATTTATTAGAAATAGCTTTAATTAATAAGGTCTTAGAAAAATATATATCTCCAGAAGGTCAGAGGAAAAAAGTGGTATTTTACATCTATACACAAGTCCCCATTATAGAAGACAAGGTGACTTGAAGGAAGATAAACTTAAATGGTATCTCCTAGGTACTCTCCTAGGTTGGCAAGAAAATTTTGTAGAGGTTGGTGTACTATAGATTTACCAAAAAATTTCAACAATGTGACAATTGTCTACCCTGATAACTGGTTTCACGTCACTCGTGTTGATTCCCTGCTTAATTTCCAGTTGACTATAATCAAGGACACTCTCGATTCTGTCCATTCTGTGGCAATTATTGGCACAGGCGCATTTGTCAATAATTTGGTAAATTTCATCGCCTAGAGTACATCAATGGAATTAATAAATATGCCACATCGCCAAGTGATAATTGGTCTGAAGGTAGAATTCGATTGGAATGATTTCACCTAGATCTCAATTTGAAAAAAAATTCCCCTAAGTCTCACTGATGATAAAATAATAAAAACAAATAAATAAAGTACTTTTACTATTAGAAAAAAAGTAATTACAAAATAGAGATTTAAGCCAAATGAAATGAGGCGTATTTTTGGCATTCGGGGAATTAGGGAGATTGCATTTGAGAGATTGAGGTAGCGAGAGAATTCATCTGTAAGAGAACTAACCGTTGGGTCCCTTGATGCTGACTGTAGTATTTTTTAAAGGTTTACACGTCAGCAATTTTGAACATGATCCCAGACATCGCCCGATGTCCATTGCTACTTGATACGGGGTCCCAGAGTGAACCAATTGCTCGTATGAAACTCGTGTACATCCTGATTCTGGCCAGCAGTCACAAGTGTTGATAGTTTCTATTATTTTTACTCCTTGGAGAGTGGAGATTCGCTCCATCCGAGCTGTTCGAGGATGACACTGGTAATGAAGAGGACACCTCTACCGAAAAACAATAATAATTATTACGTCATTCTACTTCTACGCTTCGATTATCGATTATTGGTTGAGAGAATCCAGCGGAAGACTTTTCCAAAATTATTAAAATTTCCTTAAAAAACGATCGTCCAATGAAATCTTTTGAATCGGTTTACTAGAATTTTTTTTTCTAAAATCATACTTAAGTGGATTACTTGAACTGCAGGTCTACTAGGATCTCCGGGGTCATCAGTATTATGTCTAGGACAAATTTTTCTGCATAAACCCGCATCAATGGTAATAATTTCCCCTGAGATACCTGAAAAATATGAATGTGCAACGAGTTCGGAGGGAAAATGCGCGCATAAATCAAACCGGATGAGCAACTTTATCAGCACACAAGGTGATCATGTACATGCAGCATCAATTGATTAATGTGCTATGCATAATTATTACACTGGAAATCGTATATCCGGCACGGTGTACATACTATGATCAAGTCATCTCCCTTTCTCTTGTCCCATCCCTCCAGTTTTTCCTAATTAATTTATTTACCATGTCCAACGCCGATTTTTTTCTCATGTTTCGCGCAACAGTGGAACTGTCGAGTGTACCCATCAGAGTACTCATCTTCAATTATGGAACCACTTGCTCCAGTCACTGAGCTATTGCATATGAAATAAAATATGAAAATGCCATTTAGAAATAAATTATGGGACAATGAACACAACATTGTGAATTATCGGCGTGGAACAACGGCCCTTATCACCCAGTCGTCGCGATGGAACTGGCGAACAAGTGTTATTCAGCTTCTACAAACAGTTTGGGAAGTTTTCATATTCCCATAAGCGCCAGTCAATGGGGGAGTAATAGGTAGAGTGCCCATTGGTTGCGGTTTGTCATTTGTATGACGTGAGCTGCAATTTAATGCGTAAGTGTAACAGTCTCTCTTCAAAAAAAACGTGGACGTCATTGGACAAAATTCCCAGGGGAACAAGTGGATGAAGTGGACACTCGAAACTCTCAATTACCATCTCATGTACCTGAAAGTAAAAAGTCTTGTTCTCAGGTGCAACAAATTTAGAGAAGAAACTTTACGAAATCTTGTTTTAAGTTCTTCAAAAATTTTATACAAGTCTCAAAAGTTTATTTGGGGACGCCGAATATGTTAATTTGATATTTGGAAGACGTAAGTCAAATTATTGAGAACTAAATTTCAATGTTTTTAAAGTTGATTTGATATGTTTGAAAAACTTGAGTCTTTCAAAACTCGAATTAATATATTCAAAGTCGAAATCTTAATCGTTCAAACATCCATTTGTTATACTAAAAAAATTTGGCTTTAGATTTTCAGAACTCAACTTAAGACTTTTCGAGCTGTATTGAAGATTTCTGTTATTTCATGAGTTCTATCTCGAAATTTCATTGAAAATTGCGTTAATTTATTATTTGATAATAACAAGTTGTTATTTGATTTTAGGCAATTAATACTGAGATGTGCAACAGCTTTTCAAAATTATTGTAGGAAAGTTAAAGACGGGGATTTTTTTAACTTTCATTGCGAAAATAGGGAGAAAGAAAGTCAAATTATCGAAGTAATTATTAATAGCATCTGTATTATAATTAGGGTATATTAAACTAATTATATACTAGTTTAAAGTTATGTACAATTTACCATTAAAATAAATATTAAAAATCAACAAGTATAAGTTATTGTCATTATGTAAAAAATGCCAAGATCTTAATCGAGGCCTTCTTCACTTGAAATAGCTGCTTTTGAGCGTTGGAAATTAATATTTCGGATTGTCAAATGTAGCTGATGAAAAGATGAATTGGAATGAACCGAAAGGCCAGAGTGTTAGTCATCAAATTTAGTTTTCTGAACATCTTTAATTAAACCTTATCTCAGTCTCAATTTGTAAACTGTGAAAAGCTTGAATTACGATCATAAACTACTAGGATGTCCTATGCCCTGGAAATTGTTTTTTTGAACTAAGTAATCATCATGTGCATCAAAGGCATCCTGATATAACAGCCCTTTCATTGCAAAAAATAGTTTGTAGTAATTAGCAAATTATTTTGCATCGATTAGAATTAGATTTTTCTTATTTCCTTCCAATCTTCGACAGGTATACGACTCAATCCTTTTTAATAATTACTAATTAACAACTATTTCCCAGATAAACGAAATTAACTTATCTTTGGATGCAGTATTGTTCGCAAATAGTTTATCACTTGGCCTGATTTTTAATTACTAGCGGGAAACGTTTGAAAAACGCGCGAATAGAACGCACTGCCCCATCTTGCGGAGAAAAAAAAAGGAACTTAAGGCCCGGGTGGAGGGATTTTTGCCCGACATGTCCCTAGGGAATTCCCTAGAAAAAACGCGTTTTACGGGTAACTAAATGCCAGCCCCTGTAGGCCCTCAAAAAATATAATGATAGGGTCAATCGACAGATCATTATTTTTGCCGGGCCGGTAATTAGGTCTCAGGGGTGGGA